ATGACTTCATATCAAAAATACAATTTTTAAAATAAATTTTATTATGTTTGTAACAAAAAAATATGATCTAAAAATAAAATAAAATTAAAAATAAACGTCAAAACAACATCTGAGGTATATACTGCAAAAGCAACGTAACCTTGAAAAAAAAAAATCATTTTGTGTTTTATCTTCAAATATTTCTATTATGCGCTTATCGAGTGAGCTAGCCTAATAAAGTATATTTTATATACAGAGTAGTAACTACTCTCTATATTAAAACATTATTAGGCTAGCTCACTCCATAAGCGCATTATAAAAATATTTCGAGATAAAAACACAAAATGTTTTTTTTTCAGTTGGGCCGCTTTTAAAATGTAAAGGTAAACATAAAATAAAATTGATTTAATTTAATTTAATTAAAACTCGCAGTTGACATATAATTGGTTCTTCTTCTTCTTCTAGCAACAAAATTTGGGCTGCGTTGTCAAACTTCTTTTTATTTTGGGTCACTTTATTAAATAAGTGACCGAAAAAAAAAGTGTAATCTATAACGTAGGCCTTTTAATAATAAATATGAAAAATTCCCTAATTTTAACAATTTTTATTAAAAAATTCCCTTTTCCCTTTTTGGTACCAAAATTCCCTAAAAAGGGAAAATTCCCTGCAGTTGGGAACACTGGGTCGGACTTGCATTTGCAAGCACTGTATAGTTTTCACAGCCTTATTTTGTACTCTTTGGAGTTTATTCAATACATATTCGGCAGCATTTCCCCAGCACGGTGTTAAATATCGTAGGTGTGGCATAATAAAACTGTTGTAAAGGAGATCTCTTGCATTTTTATTTAAATATCCTGAGCATCTTCTAATTGCACCTATTATAGGAACTATTTTGTCTATTATGCTTTCAACATGAATTTTCCAACTAAGATTTTCATCTATTATAAGTCCCAGGTATTTTATAGTATGTGCCTGTTTTATAGAGATGTCCAGATTTATAACAGGTTTATTTTCTTGTTTTAATATCATAAATTCAGTTTTTTGTGTATTAAGACTGAGTTTGTTACTGTTTAACCAGTTACAATAGGTTTTTAGGTCTTCATTTATAATATTGTTAATTTCTTTTTGGTCTGTTCCGCTGTATGCTAATGCTGTGTCATCTACAAATATAAAGTATCTGCCTTTAATGCCAGAGTATTTTAAATTGTGGACATATATTAAATATTCAATTGGACCTAATACAGATCCTTGGGGCACACCCACTTTTATTTCGGCCAGTTTGCTCTCTCCATTTTTTACCACTGTATACTGTTTTCGGTTTTCTGAGTAAGATTTCATCAATCTCTGACCCACACCACGGATTCCCAGTTGACTGTATCAAAGGCTTTTTGCATTTCTATAAACACAATAACCACATATTTATTCAAGTCCAACTCTGATGCAACAGTCTCCAGCAAATCCATTGTAGTGCTCAGTGTACTACTTTGAGTTTGAAAGCCATATTGGTACTAGTCAAAGCCACACGTACCACTCACAAAATCAACTAGCCTTTTTTTAATCACCTTTTCCAAAATCTTTAATAATAATAATAATAATAAAATCTTTATTTCCTTCAGGACATACGTATATGTATGGAAAACGTCACAGAATTTGAATATGATTACAGAGAAGATGTATATGTTCAGGTTACAAAAGTATTAAATAAATAGTAAATAGCACAACATTAAAACATATTAGACAAAACAAAATATAGTATTTCTTTTTATCACAGTTTTAAAGCCAAAAACTCTTCTAGGGAATATATTGTCTGCTTCAGTAGGTGGTTTTTTAGTACTTTTTTTTTAAGTTTTGATGTTTTTTGAATATTTAATCTTTTCTGGGAGATTATTAAATAGCTTAGGACCTAGTACATTAGGAGAGTTTTTCCCTATTTGCAGCCTCATAAAAGGAATTCTAAAGTTAGTTTTTTGTCTAGTATTAAGTGAGTGGATAGTTGAGTTAAGTGTAAATTTTCCCTGATTCTGGTATACATAGGAGCACATTTCGAGAATGAACACACCAACCACAGTCAGGACTTTTAGATTGCTAAAGGCACCGCGACATGATTCCCCTGATCTTAGGCCTGTAATAACTCTTACTATGGCTTTTTGAGCAATCAGGACAGACTCCACCGAGGTAGATGGACCCCAAAAGCAGACCCCGTATTTTAATCTGGACTCAATGTAGGCAAAGTATACAGATAACATTTGTTCTATTAAGAGAATCTTTTTCAAGTTTCTGAACAGATATGTAAAAGAAAATAGTTTGGTTCTTAGATTTTCACAATGGAATTTCCAGTTTAAATTTTCGTCAAGTCCAACTCCCAAGAATTTTGTATTGGGAGTTCTCTTAAAAGCTATATTGTTTATAGAAATGAAAAGATCAAGGTTAGCTTTTGTTTGATGATTGTGAAACATGTAGTTTGTCTTGTTTATATATAAAAATAATGAGTTATCACTGAACCAGTGTACGAGTTCGTCTAGATTCATTTTACACATCTGTTCGAGATTATTTCGACTTTTGTCTGAGATAACAAGTGAGGTGTCATCTGCATACAAAGCCGTTTTGCATCCTGGGTCCAGATATTCAGACAAATCATTTGTATACAGTATAAAGAGTACAGGAGCCATTATTGATCCCTGTGGGAGGCCAATGTTTATTTGTATTTTTTTGGATTTGATGTTAATTTTGTTTCTGTCCACATTGTGTGTAAGAGTCACATACTGACCCCTATTCCTTAGATAGTCAGACACCCAGGCAAGCGCCCCACCTCTGATCGCGCAACTCTCTAACTTTGTAAGCATTTTATCGTGATTCACGCAGTCAAAAGCCTTACTTAGGTCACAAAATATGCCCGCATCCGGTGATCTCGTCAAGAAAGCAATTCACAGCATCACTAGTTGTATGTTTGGGTCTGAAGCCAAACTGGTTGTCTTTAAGTATATTTTCTTTTTTTAAGAAAGGTTCTAGTCTCGATAAATAGCTGTATTCAAAAATTTTTGAGAAACACGAGGACAGAGCTATAGGTCTGTAGTTATCCATCATTTTTGTGTCACCCTTTTTATGAATGGGAATTACTTTATTTGTTTTTAACATAGTGGGGAAACAGCCTTTTTCAAAAGAGATGTTTATTATATATACTAGAGGATCAACGATTGCATGAATAACCTTCTTGACGAGAAAACCGGGAACATCATCCGGACCCGCTGATCTTTTGGCTTTTAATTTATTTTGGACCAAAGAAAGAAGTTCATTTTTAGTGAGGGGAGCCAAAAATATTGAGTTACGGTTAATCATTGAGGGGCTCCTGGATCCCCTTTTCGGGGGTATCTTGGTTAATATACTGTATGGAGCTTCAGCAAAAAATGCATTAAACTTATCCGACACTTTGAGAAGGTGGTTAATATGGATATGGGCCTATAATTTTGTAGTTCGTCTTGTCTACTTTTTTATGGATTGGAATTATTTTTGAAGTTTTTAATTCGTCGGGGAATATTCCCGTTTTTAACCCTAGATCACTCGCGCACCTAAGCCAACGTTATCACTCGCGCCCCGGTCTTTTCGACCGATTCACGATTTTTGCAGTTTAAAAAAATATAAAGAGTTTTGATATTTTTTTATTGTTTATTATAATAATATAATAACAATACAAAACTTTTAAAGCGTGAAAAAATATTATTTTTTAATAAAACAAAAAGAAAAAGAAAAAAATTTATTATTTAAAATTAAAATATTCTTTAAAAGTTTGAAACGGGGTGCGACGTATTGAAGGTTTTTAGGAATTGTCACGGAGCCATAAAATCCAGACATGCGCGTTTCGAATACTATGTAGAAAAAATTCAAGAGGTCGGTCAAAAAGACCAGGACGCGAGTGATCTAGGGTTAAAACAGAGTTTATTAAGTTTGTAATATTTTTTCCAATCACTTCAATCACGTTCACAATATCATTTTTTGTTATTTTGTCACAACCTGGAGCACAGTTATTTTTTATATTATATATAATGTTATTTACATCCACAGTTGCTGGCCTTAAGAATATTGTTGGGTATTATTCTTCTTCTGGAAATGTACTTAAGGATTTTAATTGTGTTGCAAGGTTTATTGCTACCGTTGAAAAATATTTATTAAATTCACTTGCCATCTCAGTTTCATTGGAAATTTCTTCACCCTCATGGTTCCTTATCTGGTTTATTATTGGTTATTATTTCGGTTTTCCATCATATTATCAAAAAATTTAAGAAATTCTGTTATATTGCTTGAAGGTGGTCTGTAGATTGAGATTAATGAGCTTTTGATATCGTTTAGGTGTTCGATTCATAAATTGAATATTGTCTTTTATGTAGATACTTGTACCTCCCGCTCTTGATTCTCTGCAGTTATGGATCGCTGTATATGTTGGTATATTAAAAAACTTTGTTTCATTTGAGTATAGCCAGGTTTCAGTTAATATTATTATATGTATTATTGTGTCTTTTAATTCTTCCAGTTTTTGGTGTAAGCTTCTAATGTTCATATATAAAATGTTTAATTTTATTGAAGTTTTTTGAGCCATTTTTGTAGTATTTATATTTACTTTTACTATTTCATTTTACTGTAGATCTTTTTATTTTATTGTATATCCTTTTCACTCCTTATTTTTATGGGTAAATCAGTTTCATTTTTACGCATAAATATGCTGCCATTTAAAGAGTACACCGACTTATATTTTTTTCTAATTTTGCATTCTCTTGCCATTTTAAACAACTTTTGATTGTAGGTTGTTAAATCCTCGTTAAAATATATTTTTTTCTTTCCTCCTTCTAAGCCACATTCATCTAATTTTATTCCTTTTAGCTCCTTCACCTACTTAATTATTTTAATCTTGCTTTCATACTTTTTAAACATGACCAAAATAGGGGCAGTATCCTGTTTATTAATTCTGTAACAGTCCTTAATTTCGTTTTCTCCAGTATCCATTCCCATTCCCTGTATGATTTTTTCAATTATTTTGTTGTATTTTCTTCTTTTTGTTTGGGAATGCCTGCTACGATTAGGTTATTTTGCTTTTCCTTTTGTTCCTGTGTACTAACTTCTAATACATTAATTTTTGATTTAAGTAGAACATTTTCTTCATTTAGTCTTTTTATTTCATCTATTGCCTCTTCAGTTGCAGCCTTTTGTTCTTCAAAAGCATCGGATATGTATTGCACTGATTTTTTAAATTCCATAATTTCTGTGTCAATACTTTTTTTAATTGGTGTAAAGTATTTATTTAAATGGCTTTCTAATATCATTTTTAGTCTTTTTTCGTCCAATTCCATAGTTGCCTCTTTTTCGGTTATAACCTCACTCTTTTCTTGCTTGCAACAAATTACTTTTTCCGTCTTATCAGTAACTTTTGCTTGAATCTCACAACTTCTGTAAAAGCTTGTGCCACAATTGACACAATCCAACCACAAAACTACTTTCTTTTTACAATGTTTGCAAATTTTCTTATTTTCTACTACACTCGCCATAACATAAAATAACCTTGATTGATTGATATCAATATAATGATTTAAGTAGAAATGGATTTTTGCTATTACATTGAATTCAATAAATTGTTTAATAAATAGGTAGGTATCTAATTTCAATTTGTTTGGATTTTAATTTAAAAAATAGGTAGTTTGGAATGTTTAAGCTGTGTTTAATATTTAATTTCACTGAAAACTTAAAGCAAATTAAAACTTAAAGATAATTTAAATCGTAGAAAAAGAATCGTGCGTTTTCTTGGTTGCCTAACCCTACTTTTTGTTTTATTATTCATATTTAATTTAACAATAATTTAATGAAAAATATTAAACATTAACAGTAAAACAAACAAATAAGTGCTTATTATAAATAAATTAAACCAGTTTAGTACGTTAATTTCTTAGAAAAGGATTAATTTGTCAAAACAATACCCCTAGCGAGAAAAAATCGAACTAATTCATGTAAATTAATTAATGTATTATATTTTATCTCCACACGGTCTATAATTTGAACTTTATTGTTGTCAACATTCGATAAAGAAATACCTTGTTATGGCCTAGGCCGATAAAATTTTTATAGGGCAAGTAATTAGTTCGATTTTTTCTGCATGCATGTAAAATTGTCCCCTGATTCCGAAAATGTAGATTACCACTTGAAGCATCGTAGAGTGAGGACTCGCGCACGATCAAAAGTAAAGCGCACACAGCGCATTTAAGAGTATTAGGCAACTTAAATGCGAAATCAGAGCCTAGGGCCACTCAGTCAAGTAACAAAAAGGAATCAATGTCGATTCTGCACGTGATAACGGATCCAAGTGCTAAAAGAAAAGAAATAATACGGCGTAAGTTCGAAAAGTCCTGTAGCGTCGTGGAGGTTTGTGTGAGAGTGAGTGAATAAGGTTGGGTCACTCCCATGAGATGCCTGATCACCGGTATGGTCATCACAATCGACAGGGCCAAGGAGCGCGGTCTGTCCGCTAGGGATAGTAAGGCAGAATCTAATTAGTTCAGCTAAGTAATTTTCCTAATTGCATGACCTAACAACAGTACCAATTCGATTCTGATAATTTAATCGTTAAATGTTTATATTAGCAAATTCGCGAGGTTGCCAAAAATGTCATCTGGCTTCAGAAATTAAACATGTTCCTACACTGAGAAAAGTGATCTATTTTAAGTTTTAATTAAATGAACAGTTTTGGGTACATTCAATACGCCCAATGCGCATAACTGTTTATTTAAAAGTCTATGATACCTACAGTCTTTAAATTAAACTGGTACAGTTTAAATATCCATTTTTACTACTACAAAAATGTACAAAGAATTCAATAAAGCGGTACAGACAGTAAATTATGAAATATCTCTAATATAAGCACTCTGATTCTTTGTCTAAGATTTCTTTTTATTCGTCTCAAAAACTAAATTTTAAATAATAATAAGAAAACACTTCCGTAAATTAAAATAACAACCTCATTTTCTCAGAGTAAACAAACCATAAACAGCTTAACCAAATTGAGAGTAAGAGTAAATAAACCAAATCAAGCAAGATGACAAAAAATTTAGATCATAATTAAGTGTTGTGTGTTAATATTTAATATTGTATGCATTTAAGACTAGCCATAAATCAAAGCCAAATAAGCTCAGGAATGCAAGAACACCACAGAAGATAAGAAGAGCGACCCTCTCAATAGCCAAATGCGTACACCACAGGGCCGGCTTTATCTATTTTGTATATTAATATTTATATTTTTAAATTAAATTTGGAAAAAAAGTAAGAATGCAAAGATATAAATGAAATTAAATCGGTATAAACACTAATTTAACAATAAAATAAATAAAGAATGGGCGAATTTTCGTTAAATGTACATTTTGTATTTTGTCCAGGCAGGTCAATTTGATCGATTTTTTTTTCCTTTGTGATAGAACAGTGTAATATACTGCAAAAAAATTCTATAAGTTTATAAATAACAAAAATAAACTTTAAAGAAATAAAACGTATAGGGTTAATCTGAAAAAGGGAAGGAACACAAGGAAGAAATTAAACATTGTCCTCCTCCTAACGCATCTTCCTGAACGTTTTATGACATATTGCTTTTGACTTTTTCAAACGTTATTTTTCAGAAAATGAAAATAAAAAAGTTAACTTCTAAAACAAGAGTTTTATGTAGCGTTTTGTAAAAGACACCAAAAGTGTACGCAAAAAAATCTAACCTTTAAAATATTTATAAAAAAATTCACACACTTTCCACGTGCTCACTTGTTGTTGCCGAACTATCAAACATGTATGCCCTCTAGAAATAACACGATAGTATCTCTATCTCGTGTCTCTATTTCGAAGCAGTCTGCATAGAAGACGACGTTAGGAAAAAGACAAGATTTTTGAATTTCAACTTTAATATTTATTTCTGTTTAAACTACTTTGTAGAAAATTATTTTATTTTTATATACGAATAAAAGAACTTTCCATTGTTCAAAAATAATTTATTTTTTCAGAAGAAACCTGCAAAGAAGAAGAATATAATAATTTAAATTATAAAATCGCCTCTGGGGACAGTTAGGTTACAGGACATTTCACCTAGTTTTTCTGCCATATATAGAAACATAAAGTAATTACAAAAAAAATACGATGGGTCCTAACAGGAAGGGGGTATTTAAATATAATAAATACAAAACTTATCAACAAAGGTCAAAAATAAAAATAAAATTAGCTGGGGACAGCAAATGTACATTTAACGAAAATTTGCCCATATACAAGGTTGGTAGCCGGCACTCGGCAGGAGGAATATCCACTAAGGCAGAGGGCACTTACTGTGTGTCTTGGCCGCCAACATTTCGGTACGGAAAACAAGACTCAGTATCACACAGGGGGACAAACAATTCTAAAGAGGTAACCAGGAACCTGATACTGATTCGGACAGAGATGTTTAGAAATACACCAACAAGGGGCAGGTTCTAGCAGCCTATTAAAACTTCTACCCCCATTCATGAATAACAATTGAATGTGGTTATTACTAAGTCCCAGGTTGAGGAGGATTCCGGATTGTACTTAGTTTTGGGTCAGTTCAATGTCCTCCAAAAACCCTTTCTAAACTGGACGTATGACCCGATCCGTGGAGCGGCTTTAACCATAGACACTGTCTTCCACGACCTCCTAGGGTGGATCTACCAGCCGGCGTAAAAACTTCGGATCCAACAAACACAGGTAAAGCTGCGATTTGGCGGGATACACAGGAGAACGGAAAGGGGGTAAAATAACCTTGGGAGATTAGGATAATGTCTTTGGGGCCTTTGGGGCCTGCCATACGTTCCCATACTCATACTCATACTCAAAATTGTCCCCTGATTCCGAAAATGTAGTCAAAAGTTATAATAGTAGAACAGTTTTTGAGATATAGTCAATTTTCCATATATTATGGAATTTGCTATATCTCAAAAACTGCTCCACTTTCATAATTTTGTACGGTATTTTCGGATTCAGGATACGGTATTTTCGAATTCAGGGAATGTTAAATGTTGGGGATACCATGGTATAAGTGAAAAAGCAGCCACTAATAACTGTAGTAAATAGTTATTTTTGATTAATTCATTTTTAGAGAGTAACTCTTTCTAGAAATGGGTATAAGTTACTCGAATTAAGCTGGCGGCGCGCTGCGACGATGCATTGCGATGGTTAGTAGTATGATGATTTGTGCTGGACGGTCCAACCTGGACCGGCTTGGTGAGCAGTCGTCCATTTATTTGATTCTGTCTCGCTGTCCTGTGACGGAAAGGGAGCGACATGTTTTAGCACTTTTTTATGTTACAAGCAATCTTACAGTGTTGCCATAATTTTTTAAGAGTCGCGTCACGTTTTTGTCTTGCCGATAATACGATGGAAATAAGTATAAATTAATTTGGTCGTTTGCTCAGTGGCAACTAGGGAATGCAATCTTGGTATCCCAAGATCTCGAAATTCCAAGATCTCGCACTAATTCTGCAAGATTAGTCTCGAAAATCATGCGCGATCTCGCAAGATTTGCGAGATTAGGACAGCGCATTCCATGTGTGTTTTTTCTTTTTTGAGAAGTCATTTTCAAAATAATGTATAGTTTTTTCAATAAATATTTTTAGTCTCGTTTATGCTTTTTGCTTCAATAGCTTGATGATTATTCGTAATACGAATTTCGTATATAATATTATATAGGTACTACCAGTGGTAAAATTTTACGGATAAAATTTTAAAATTTATACGAATGTTTATGTTTATGCTTTTTGCTTCAATAGCTTGATGATTATTCGTAATACGAATTTCGTATATAATATTATATACCTACTACCAGTGGTAAAATTTTACGGATAAAATTTTAAAATTTATACGAATGTTTTTTTTGGAAAGTGGGATTAATTTTTGAGACCACGAGCCGCTAGGCGAGTGGTTTTAAATTAATGCCACGAGCGAAATTTTCAAGGAAAAATCTTGAGTAAACAAAAATCAAAGTTTTTTTCAGGGAAAATTTTATTGCGAGTGTATTTTTTTTTAAATTAGAATTAACTGCCGATATTTTTTGACATTTTTATTTTTAAATTAGAAACGTCAAAATTGACAATTATTTTTCGCATAGCAACCAATTGGTTGGTCGTATAAACGAGTGTTTTTTATCTAAATAGGTAGTAGTTTTGGTTTCTCTATGAGTTTTGCCTTTACGATATAACCTTACAAAGTTGTAATAAAAATAATTAAACTAATTTATTTTTTTAATAATCTTAAAACTGCGAGAAAATAGTTTTTGTTGGGTGCCTTGGACGCATCAAAAATCTTCTGATTTTAACAATAGAATGTTGGTTAAATTTTAATAGACCTGTGAAATTATTAACCAAGCAAAATAAAACCAATAATAAACATTATTTTATATTTTAAACGTTTACACAATAATTCATTATTTAAAAATAATTAATAATCCTTATACCAAACGTCTAATTTCAAATTTATGGTCATGCAGTAGCTATAGTTATGTATGCATTCCAAATTA